ATTAGATCCGTGGTTTCCCAGACATATCAGTGAATTGGATCAGTGCACTCACATCATAGCGAAGTACGAGCCCGACCTCGACAGCGATCATCCGGTGAGTGAAAATTGTTGATGGATTTTGTTTTGTCTGATTAATTGATTTTCAATGCAATTCTATAGGGATTTCTCGATAAGACATACAGAATGCGGCGCAAAGATATCGCAGACATTGCTTTTAATTATAAATAGTAAGATTTTATCGTTTAAAATAACTTATTAGTTACAATAAACTGACAGTTTAACAAGGTGTCACCATATATAAATATTGCCACCATAATTGTATTATTTTTCTATTTAACATAATAAGTTATGTTTGTTATAATTTTAATCATCTTATAGAATTATAACTTATTTGTAACCATTTGTCATATTTTAAATTAAAATTGTATTTTCAGCGGAGAGTCAATACCTCGAGTGACATATACTGAGAGTGAGATAAGAACATGGTATGAATAAATTGTTTTATGTAATTTATTAATTATTGTTTTATTGGAAACTTTGAATTTCCATTTGTTAAATAAATGTGAAAAAATAAGACAATATTTACCAAAAATAGGGGCGAAGTATACAAAGAATTGCGGCGATTGTTTGAATCACACGCGTGTCGGACACACGTCGATGTGTTCACACTTCTGGAGAAGGAGTGCGGATACGCTTCCGATAATATTCCTCAACTACAAGACGTGTCACTCTTTCTTAAGAGTATTACACCTTTTATATTGTGTCCAAAAAATAGTTACCAATTATTGCTGATTTGTCAACAATTATAAACAGGAAGAACTGGATTCACTTTACGCCCGGCGGCCGGACTGCTCACCGCCCGTGACTTCTTGGCGAGTCTGGCGTTTCGCGTGTTTCAAACCACACAATACCTCAGACACGACTCCAATCCACACCATTCGCCCGAACCGTACGTAAATTGCAATTATTGTTCACACGATTAATGGTTTTTTAAATAAATGAAAATATATTTAGCGATTGCATACATGAGCTGATAGGACACGTACCCATTCTGGCCGATCCCAGTGAGTAATTCACACACACTTTACCATAACTTCTATGACATGTAATTTATTGCTCTGTTGTAAACACTTTTCATAGCATTCGCACAGTTCTCGCAAGAGATAGGTTTGGCGTCTTTGGGCGCATCCGATGAGGAGATCGAGAAATTTGCGACAGTATTGCAGACATTGATAGCCAAAACACATTCAGACTTATAATGAAAATATTTTTATCATTACTTTATATGAATAGTTGTATTGGTTTACCGTTGAGTTTGGTTTGTGCAAAGAGAAGGGGGAGATCAAGGCCTACGGCGCCGGACTCTTGTCATCGTATGGAGAGCTGAAGCACTCGCTGTCACCAAAGCCAGAGCTGCGGGCCTTTGATCCGATGGCCACTGCCGTACAGCCCTATCAGGACGTCGAGTATCAGGACGTCTATTATGTGGCCGAGAGTTTTGAAGACGCGAAGAATAAGTTCAGGTAAACTAATTGATTAGTATTAAACACGGGGTAAATCGCTGTTTTAATTAACCATATTGTTTCCAATTGTCACTAGAGTTTACTAAAATGAGATTAATGTTTTTAATTAATGTTAATAATTATTATTTTTGTTGTGTTAGCGAATACGTGAAGACAAAACTCGCCCGACGTTATGAAGTATATTACGATTCGTTCACCGATTCGGTCAATATATTGGACTCAATGAACAAATTGCATGCTTTCGGCACTAAAATCAAATCAGATATCAATTGCTTGAATACAGCGTTGAGTAGAATTAGTGGTCAGAAATAGGCATAAATTGTGAGTTTAGTTATGAAGTAGTTGTTAAATATGATCATAATTTTAGATTAACTTAATTATTGTTGAGATTTATCAAGTTTGAAGTTTGTTGCTAGATTAAAGAGTTTAAATAAAATGTTTTTAAATTAATCTAATCAGACAAAATATACTAACTTATAATTATAATAATGAATTTATCAAATATTAAATGTTAATCCTATGAGAATAGTCTATTTCTAAATTATTATTCTATAAATGAATATTAATTCAATTGTTCAAAACACTTCTAATTTAGTTATTTCTCAATATATTTATCCATACGTTAATCATATATCAAAATATAAGTTATAATTGAATGTTAAAACGAAGCCATAAACTAATAAAGTATTTCAAAAAGTTAACAAATTTCCAAACAAATAATTATTCATTTTGTGTTTAAATTTCATTTCTAACATTTCCTATCATTCATTCATTTTATTGAACCTTTGATTTCAAAGTTTGATATTTCATTGGTAACCAAATATGAAATATATGCTAATTTTATGCCATCTCTTTGGTCACCATAATTGATCCCATTCGTAACAAACTTTAGATATTCTGTGGCCAATACCATCGCATTCTTCGTGAAACCCTTCCATGTGTTTCAATTGTTCTGCTAATTCATGGCATTTGATGGGCAATTGGTTTTGCCGTCACTTTCAATAACGACAATAAATGCAAACTTATTTCATACAAAACACCAAACTTTGCGATACTTTGCAATCGAAGACATCGTTTATGTGTAACTCATTGGACAATACAATGGGAGACACAGAGACTCTCTGTCAGAGAGAGAGTCAGAGAGA